TGTATATGTACATGTGTATGTATATGTACATGTGTATGTATATGTATATGTATATGTATATGTATATGTATATGTATATGTATATATATATCTATATTATATATTTTATTTATTTTAAATTATATTATAAATTTCTTTATTATTTATTTCTATTATATTAATTTTTAAATTATATATATATAATTTTATTTTATAAATTATTAAATATAAGATTATTTATTTATTTATTTTTTAAATATTAATTATTAAATATTTCAAAATATTTTTTATATTATTTTATATTTTATATTTTTTATATTTAATAATATTTAAATTATCAATTTAGATATTATGAATCTTTTTATAATTCATTTTAATATTTAATAATTTTTTAAATTATATTTATATTTACTTGTTTGTAATTATTTAATTTTTGTCTGATATTAATCTTTTTAAATTTACTTTATATACATATCTTATTAATTAATAATTTATTGAAATTTATTTTAATTATTAAGATTATTTTTTAAAACAAAAATTTATTTATATCTTCTTACAAAAAAAATATATTTTATCTGATGTTTTTTACTACATATTTATATGAATAATCGTTCTTTAAGTTTATTTTTAAAATATTTATTAAATTAATTTTTAAAAAATTAATCTTTATAATTAACATTTTTTATTTAAAATAAAAATAATTTCATATGTATAATCTGATCTTTAAATTTATATTTAAAAAAATTAAATGTATTTTATTTAAAAAATATTTGATTATTAATATAATTTTTATAAATATCTAATAAATATATTTCTTTATTATTTAAAAAATTAAAGACATATTTTAATTTTATTTTTTAATAATTATATTTTTTTATATTTTATATTTCAAATATTAAATATAAATTATTTACATATTTTAGTTAAGAAATATTTATTAATATATAGAAAATATATTTATGTTATTATAATAAAATAAACTTTTTTTGTTTTTTATATAAAATATATAAAATTATTTGAATAAATAAAGATATATATATATATATATATATATATATAGCTATATTATTCAAATATTATTTTAAATAAATAAATAATTTTTATATAAAATTTATAAATAAGTATTTAATATATAAAAAATAAATCATTAATTAAAATTATCTTAATCTTCTTCTACTAAACTAGGAGGGTAGGCAATAATAATATCTTTTTTATCTTATAAGACCATGCAATTGTTATCATTACTCCATTAAATTTTATTAGCTTAAAATTATTTTTTATCTAATAATAAAATGCTATAAAATATAATAAAATTTTTATTACCACATGGAATTTCACAAACACTTGAACCATCAGGATTCCAAAAATATACTTTATTATTTCCAGTTATTATAATTAAATTATTAGATTTCTTGCTCCATACAATTTCTTTAATTAAATTTGCAAATATAATTATATATCTTAATTCTAATAAACTTATTTCCCATATAAAAACTGCGTTTGGAATACTTGCTTATATTTTTTTAATTAATAAACATAATATCCTTATTTCATTTTTTTTTAATCATACCACATTTCGAACATAAATAATAAGAATCATGGCTAAATTATAAGTATTGTATATATTATTATTATACAAATTTATCATTTGGAATCGGTTGAGTTTTCTGTTATATTTTAAAACTATTATCAACCATAATAACTTTTTATTTGTTTAAAAAATAAAATATTAATGATTTTCATAATTTTTACATTATGAATTTTATTTAGGAACGGATGTTATTATGTTTTCTTGTTTTACTAAAATTTCTTCTTTATATATTAGCTTTAATTTATATAAATTAAGTTGAATTTTTTTAATAAAAAATACTGCATTTGGATAATATTGAAAATTTTATTTATGTTCAAAATCAATTATAGTTTTCCAAGTTAATGTATTAATTAATTTTATCTTCATATTTTTATAAATTTAAAATTAAGAATATAAAAGCTTATTACTTTTTCATCATATCCTCCTATTGCCACATAACCGGGATTATTTGCTAAATCAATTAAAGATATTCCTAAAATTTAATCTTATATTTAAATACGAGAAATTAATCCCTTAGAAGGGTGATAAATCAAAAGCTTATACTATAAAATTTTATGTGAAAAAAATTAATAAAAAAATAATACATATAAGTCAACTATCCCAAACTAATATATATTTATTATCTTTACTCCAAGTTAAATCTTATAAATCAAAAGTATCCACAAATAAATGCTTTAAATATATATTACTATTTTTTAATAAAAAAAAAATTATAATAATATATGATTTACATTTTGAAGCTTCCAATGAAATGTATAATATATACCAATACAATCTTTTGTTTCTCTTCTTTCGGCTAAGGCTAAAAACTTTCCATCTTTAGTAAAACTTAAACCTTTTTTATATTTTTTATTTTATTTTAATAAGAAATATTGTAAAATAAACCTTTATCATAATACTTCGGATTTAAAATCGTATATTATTTTTTCTCAGTTAAATCATATATAGTAGCTTTTATCTTTATTTAACAAAAATTTCATTATAAATTAAAAATATATTCATATTTTTACTTAGTTTTCAGAAAAAACTATTATATTTCTTGAATCTTAACACCATATAGCATGCTAAATGCCAAGAGAAGGCTCTTATATTTTACAACCCCATTCAGAATCATAAATGTTATATATTTCGATTTATGCTGTAGTAGAAAGAATAATTAATATTAATTGACTATCATAAGAAAACGAAATTTGGGTTATTTAATCTTAAAATTAATATACTTTTGTGTTAGTCAATTCTTTTGTGTCTTTTAACTTATTAAAAAATAATAATTATTTTAGGAATATTTTGATAGATTTTGATAGAGTTTTTTCAAAAAATCATAAATATATAAAATAATATTATATTTTTCCAAATAATTAAAATAAATATAATGAATTTCATTATATTTTTTTATTCCAATTATTTAAAAATAAGTTAAAATTTTATATTTAGATTGCTTAAAAATAATAATCTTTTTTTTTTGTTTAAAGTTTTACCAAAATTTTTGTTCCATTAGAAATCGCTATAAAATTAGAATCTGGAGAAAAAACGACATGTGTAATTCCTGTTATTATGCTTGAAAAATTCATTTTCAATATAAATTTAAATTTTGAAATTTAATTTCTTTTTTTTTGTTTTATTTATAAAACAAATTCTAATTTTAGAATTTTTAATATTAATTAGAAAATATATACTATTTTTTTTTTTGAATTTACTTAAATTAAGTAAAATATTTGTTTTATTAAAAATTATATATAATAGTATTTTTATTTATTTAAATATTTTTTATAAAGGAAAAAAGAAGTAATAAAATTACATTAAAACAAAACTAAAAACCAAAAAAAAAAAACTTTAAAAATTTTTATATTTATAAAAAATTACAAATATTTTCAACTAAAATAATCTCCATTAAAATAAAAGCTTTCATTAGATTGATTTTCATTATAAGAAACTTAATCATGTTCAATTTTTTCTTTTCCTATAATCCCACAAGGTTATTTTTCAATTCTTACATTTATATAATTATCAAAGATAACTTTTACAAGATTCTTAGTTAACTCATCAAAGAAATACATAGTATCCTTGATAAAAATCATACTTAATTCATCTTAGAAAGCTTAATAATATTCTAAACCTTTATATTCATTAAATACATCTTAATCTTTAATTTAATCTTTTAATAGTTTATCCCTTTCATCATCAATAATGAATTTTAGATTTATTCCTCCTTTTTCAAGTTCAAAAAATCTTATAATGATTTTATCAGAAGATCTTTAAACAGTAAGAAAAATATTAAACCCAATTTAATCCACCACAGGTTTAATAAACCTATTATTTACAAAGGGACTTTTTATAGATAAGTCTACATTCAAGCTCCATTCATCATATTCTACATTATAAATAATAACATTTAATTCTTTTCTTCTTAATTCGACATCATCCGATATACCTCCTAATAGATAAATGCTTTGACCATTCTAGGATTAAAGAGCAGTAGAGTTTACAATTCCAATAGGAATATCAGCTAATTGTTCCCAATCATTTTCTTTTATTGAATATCTAAAAGCTTTCTTATTAATATGTTTCGAACCATCAAACTAAATTTCATATCCCCCAATACAATAAACCCAACCGTTTAGCCACAACAAAGTAGGGGATAAACACGCAAAAGGAATATCTTTTAATTTTCTCAATCTAGATGTAGATTAATTTACATATGTAAATTCCAAAGAATAAAATGTTTAATATTTAAACTCTTCTTTTTAAGCTCCAGAAATATACATAGTAGTTTCTCCATCAAAAGCAAACATATTATATTTAGAGAATTTATAAGGAATATGATTTTATTAAATAACTTCAGTTTTACAAAAACCAATATCATCATAAAAATTTGTAATTATATAATTCGAATTGTATCCAATCCAAAATATTCTCTTGTTTAGCGAAATAAGTCCATTCTTTAAATCTTTTAATTCTTTTACTTATAATGATTAATAAACTTCCTTTATCTAAATACTTAACTAATCTACATCTATTTATTCCTATTAATGTTATGCACTAATCAAACAATTATTCAAAAATTAAAAAAGACCCGGATATTCATCCAGTTTATTCCTATTTAATTATAAAATATCATTAGTAAGTGCAAAATCGCTATTTTCATCAAAATTTAATGTTGCGGTTTGATATATTAATGTGCAAGCATCGTAAAGATCATTTTAGAATTCACTTCTATTTTCCAAATACCAGCCTGCAATTTTTATTTCATCTCGATTTGTGTAATAGACAAATTTAGGTACGATATTTCCGTGTAATATACTTATGTCTTGAAGACATAAAATTGTCTTGAATACTGCTTTTAAAATATAAGCTATATGTTTTGATTTAAATGGCTTTTGTTAATTCTAGCGTTGTAATATTTCGTCCATTAAACTCATTTTACAATATTCTTCTATTAATACAACATAGTACTACACTGATGAAGTTGAAATTTCTTCTTATTCTAAATAACATTATTTAATTCCTATTAAATGCTTTGTTTATATAGTTTATTCTAGTAAAATTACAAAGTTTTAAAAATCACTTAATGATTAGATTTTAATTTTCCGCATTGAATATATATTGTCTTATATTAGAATTTAAAAAAGTGAATATTATTTTGTTTAAGAAATTAATCTTATTATTTAAATTTCTTATTATAGTTATTGTTATTGTTATTATTATTGCTATTATTATTATTATTATTATTATTATTATTATTATTATTATTATTATTTTTGTTATTGCTATTATGGTTATTGTTATTTTTATTATTGTTATTTTTATTCCTTTTTTATTTTTTATTGTTATTGTTATTGTTATTGTTATTGTTATTGTTATTGTTATTGTTATTGTTATTGTTATTGTTATTGTTATTGTTATTGTTATTGTTATTGTTATTGTTATTGTTATTGTTATTGTTATTGTTATTGTTATTGTTATTGTTATTGTTATTGTTATTGTTATTGTTATTGTTATTGTTATTGTTATTGTTATTGTTATTGTTATTGTTATTATTATTGTTGTTTTTCTTATTATTTATATTATTATAATTTTTATATATTTATACTTTTAGATGTATTTTTTTTTTAAATATTTTATTCTTTTATATCTTTTGTATCTTTTTAGCTTTTATTTATTTAAGATTATTATTCATAAAGTATGTTTTTTTGATTTTTAATATTATTAGTTTTTATTTTTTATTAATAAGTTACAATATCTTGTATATCTTTAGGAATTCTTTATAATAAATCTTCAAAGAAATGTAAAGATTTACATTTTCTTAATACCATAGTTCCTTATTATGGAAAAAGTTCATAAGAACATAGAACAGTTTCTATTTCCTTTCTTCCTAAAATATGTAACAATCCTTACTAAAAAGTGACATTTGAACCAAAGTTATATTAATTGTAGAATTTTATTTCAAAAGGTTAGTTTAAAATTTTATATGTATATTAATATTAGCGGGGATGATTAGTATTATTTAATTTATAATTTTATAATTATTTTAAAGAACTAAATGAATAAAAGCATTTATAATTAAAATCTAATGTATAAATGTTTTTTGAAGCATGCATTAAAAAAACCCCATGTTATATTTCCGTACAATAATTTACTTATTATATTTACATTGTTAAGTTTATAAAACTTTCATATATTTCTTCTGTAGAACATGCAAAACGCAAGTTACCTTCTTTAAAATCTCCATTTTATAAAGATGTGTCAAAATAAGAATATCTTATTCCTTTTTCGAATATATTATTCGAATCATTTATACAATATATAAATTTATTATGAGGATCGTAAAAATGAAAGGCATTTCTTCTCCATAAATAATTTCTAGGACCTTCATATACTTTATTTAATTAGTAAAAATAAATAAATATATATATATATATGTAATAATTTATATATATATATATATATATATATATATATTTTATTAGTTTGTTATATTTTTATATCTTTACTTTATATTTCTTCTTTCCAATCATTAGCATTAGCATTTTATTATGTATATAAATTATTAATAATAAATGAATTATAATAAATATCGTTCGTTTCTTCATCAATGTTTATTCTATTGTTGAATATATAAACTTAAAAAAAGTAATCACTATTTGTAACACAAATGATTTAAGCATCTTATATTTCCATATTTTTTATTGATTTATAAAAAATTACTTCTGATTTTTAATTTATAATATGTCTTTATTTAGAAGTAGTATTTAGCATAACTTTTACAACTTTATTAGAATTAGGTGTAGCTAAAAAATAAAACGAATTATCAAAATTGCAAAAATTGATTTAACTTTTAAGGTTGTATTTAGCTTTTTTTCTAAATATTTTAATTAATTTGAATGTTTTACTTTCAAACTCATAAAAATGAATTTAATTTTTCCTTTTAAAAAATACATGATTATTATCATTTTTTAACATTCTTGTCCCATGATACGACAAAAAAGCTGATAAAGAATCATGTCTAAATGCTGTTTAAGGCCCTTTTTCCATAACTCCATTAAGAGTCGTGCGTATTTATTCAATAGGTTTGCTACTTTTGACATCTGGTGAATAAATTTATTTAATAGTTTCCAAAATAATTTACGGAAGGTTCATATAATTTAGTTTTTATTCGATTTCGTCTTATGAAAAATAAAAGAAGTTTTAGAAAGAAATCTATTCTTATTTAGCCTTCATATTGTTTATTGCACAGAAAAAATATATCATCAAATGACCAATACAAAGACAATCATATAGAAAAAAATCATAGTCCGATTTAACTTATTCATATAAAAAATGCATTTCAGATTCGTTCCATATAAAATCAGGATTGTCTAAAAAAATCTAAATCTCATTATGGTGCAGAGTCAATATTTGAACATTTTCTGGTCTTAAATTTCTATAAGAGAATCCTCTTGTATGCATTTTTTATATGATTTTGGCTATTTCATTCATTATATATAGTATTTTACCATAAAGTTTTATCGGGTCATCTATTAAGGCATATTTTTGTATTAATTCCGTTAATTAAATTCCCTACTCAGTAAAAGCGCGGTCTACATAGTATATTTCATTCTTTTTTATTCATAATTATTATCATTTTCTAAGTTTTCTTAAGGATCTTCCAAAAGAACATTTCCGATTTTGTAATTTTCATTATTTACATTAATGAAGGAAAAATTTAACAAGTTTTAAATTTACAAACGCTTTAATTATAGTAAATATGATAAAAAGGCTGACATTTTTGTAAAGTCTTCAAAATAACGTCTTTTGAATAAATATACATATACTTAACTTTTTATTTCTGCTTTACAAACTACTTTATGTGCCCAATAATTATAGGTAACATATTAAATCACGGCATCTTTATTACGGTTTATTGTAATTTCATTTGATTATTGCAATATAGATAAATTATTATTGTTTTTTTCTAAGCTTTCCTCATAGCTTTGTTGTTCTTCATCTTCTTGTTCATTTTAATGTGCAATTTCTTGGCATTTTTAAATGAATTATACCATTTGTTTTGAACGAAATTCATCATCATTTAATAAACAATTCGGAAATTATTCTTCATATGATAAAATAAAATTCTTAAATAATGGTCTGAATAGTTTTTATAATTTTTATTTAGATTGTTAAGTGTTGTTTTTTGCTATAAATTTTTCATATTAATCTAATTTTAATGATATTTATAAATATGTTCCTAAATAAAATTAATCATCACTTTAATTTTATTTATTATCTTTTTATAAAATCAATTTTCGCCTTTTTACTATGCTTTTGTCTTTTATTTATTATTCATTCATTGAAGCACATCCTCCCATTTATTTATAATAATTAAATAGATTTATATATATAAATTATTACTATTGTAATTATTTAATTTTTTTTTTTAAAAAAAAAATTATACTTTTCTTATTATAAAAAATTATTATTAATAATTTTTATAGTATCAAATAGAAGTAGTTTTATTTTTTTATTAATCAACATATAATTTAATAAAAAAAAAAAATATTTAATTTGTAAAATAAAATATAAGCAAAAGAAATAAATAATTATATTATTAATTAAAAAAATAATATTATAATTGTTAAAAATATAAATATTTTTAAAAAAATACTAATTATATAAAGAAAAGAAAATAAATATACAAATGTATTTATATATATATAATAATATAAATTTATGTATTATAATAAATATTTAAGTTATATATAAAAAAATGTATAATTTTTATATTATAAATTATGATTTTTATAATATTTTATATTATATTTATTAAATTTTTATTATATTTAAATATTTTTTTTATTCTATTTAATAAAAATGTAAATTAATTTGACTTTAAAGTAAAATATTAAATTTTATGTTTATTAATTTTTTTTTGTATATAAACATTAAATATTTGTTTTATAATATATCTATCAATTCCTTTTTACATTTTTATTAATTTAATAATTTCTATTTTTAAAAAAAAAAAAATTATAATTTTAATTTTTTAATGTTTTATATATTATATTCTTAGAAATATTTTTTATGTAGTATTTGTATTTATTTCAATTAAAAACTTAGAAATTACATTTTTTATACATATAATAATAATTATTAGCTAAAAATAAAATTATAAATAAATTTGTTAATATATTTTTTTTCAAAACTTAAATTATATATTTTTTATTATATAATTAATTAAACTTATACATAATAAATACAAAACTTTAACTATATAAAACTATGTTGTATATTAAATTATAAATATTATAATTTTCTCAATTGAAAGCAATTTAGAATTATTTTATAATTTCTTAAAACAATTTTTTACCTTGAACAATAAGTTAACAAATTCCTCTATCTAATACAAATAACTCAATTAAGAATTGAAATTATTTTTTATTAGTTGCATTGCAAACAATTAGTTTTTGAATCATTTCAATAGGGATACATATCTGAAAATTATCCTATTTTAACTCAATTACTTTATTTTCAAAGAATAATTAGAAAGCAAAAAATCCACTTTTTATAGCATCATTATAAGTCCTAGAATTAAAATGAAACGGTTTATTAAATTTTTAGCTTTATTATCTGAAAAGTATATTATATCCTATATTTTTTTTGACTATGCAGTTTTTGAATGACTCTTTTGTATTTATTTGGCTTAAATTTGTTGATACAGTTGTTCCAAATAGAGTATTGGTCGAATTTTTTTTATTTGTTATATCATTAAAAACTGTTTCTTGTTATATAGAATAATTTGTTATTTCTTTCACAAATAAAAAGTCATTATCAATTATATATTATATTACATTTTGATCATTTAAAGAATCAAAAGTAGTTTCTATTAACTAAAATATTTCTTAGGTTTCTTAATAAATTTATATTTCTGTACATAAAAGTTCACTTTTTGCTTATTCTTCAATTATTTTTTCGTTTTTTTTACGAATTTATTCCAGATGGTTTATCTCTTCTTTTATTTTTTACCCTTCTTTTTTTCTATTGTCGTTTTTTTTATAATTTTATTCGATTATTTCTTTATCTTAATGCGCTTTTTTTAACTATACTTATATTATTTTTTTTTCTTTTTTTTTTTTCTTACATTATTTTATAAATCAATAGTTTCCTTTGAAAATGCATGAGTTTTTAAAATATTAACTCTTAATTAATAAATAAGATTTTACATTTAATTAATTTTTGGTTAAAATACTTTTATTTTGGAAATTATATTTTTAAATTTTTACTTTTTTATCTTAAGTTAGGCTAAAATCATATTTTAAATTTCTTCTTGCTCTTTTCCGTTATTATATTTTTTAAATGAGTGAAAAAACATATCAAAAATAGATTAAAAATTAACGTAGTTTTTTAAAAAGCTCATTAAATCTGGAAACATAAACTGATCTAATTAAAAAATAAGTGACTAAATTTCTTATTAAATTTAATAAACAAATGAGTTAAATTATTGGTTTAATTATTAAAGTTATTTTTGATGTTTTTAAACGAAAATATAATAAAATTCGCTTTTGTTTTTATTAGGAGAAAAGCTTTAGGTAAAAATATTTAACTATTACTTTATAATATTTTAATTTTCTATATATCGAAAATTTGCTAATATTTATTTTATAATAAGGTTTTGTAATTATTCAATAACTTCTAATACATTTAAATTACAAACTTTTATGTTAAAAAACTAATCGTTTTCTTAAATATAAACTTTTTATTTCATTAAATTATAATCGAATAATATTAATATTAAATCATAAATTTATTTTCCTCCCATTATCAATTATAATTTTATATGATCTTCTATGATTTAAGCATCTTTTTATTCCTATAAAATTTTAAACAAAATATTTTTTTTTTTTTTTTAATTAAAACTATAATTTTAATATTTTATAAATTACATATATATCAACTTCAATTTATTACACCAATTGTAAAAAGTCTTATTTTTATTAATTGAATTATTCTTTCAAATATTAAGTTAATTAATTTATATTATTTAATTATCTTTGTTTGATTTCGATTTCAACATTATACCTTATTATTTATACTTCATTCAAATCATTTAAATTTATTATTTTTTATTATAGAAAATCAATATTTTAAACAATCTCTTATTAACGCATTTTTCTTGAAAACAAATCCTCGTCTAGCATATTTTTTTTTCTTTTAAATTCATTAATATCTCTCCTTTTTACAGTAAAGGTAGGATATGACAAACATTTGCTAATAATATTTATTGTGCTTATTAACGTAAATTTAATTTTCGAATTTAAATTGATTATCTTAAATTAAATTTTTGTTAAAAAAATATCTTATTTTATTAAATATTAAAATTATTTTATTTATTTTAAGAAATTGAATGTTATAATCTTGTTTAAGATTTTGAAAAATGTTTTTATTTAAATTCCATTTAAATATATATAATTAATTTTAATATTTTGTATAATATATAAATATTATATATTATATATTAATTAAAAAATATTCATTATTTTTAATTAAAAAATAATAATAAATATATTATTAAAAAATATATAAATTATATATAAATATATATATATATATATATATATTTATATATTTATATAAAAAATAATAATAAATCAATTTAAATAACATTTATAAATTTTATTTATAATTACAAATATTAATAATATAAATTATTAGGTAAATTCAATGCAATCATATGAAAAAATAATAATAAATGAAATAAAAATTTATAATATTTTATTTACAATTTAAAAGTATTAATAAAATGATTAATTAAATAAAATAAATTATATTGTAAATATATTAAAAATATAATAAATAAATATATATTTATAAAAAATGTTTATTTTTGTGTTTTATATATAATAACAAATTTATATAATTAAATTTAAAAATAAATTATATCTATTTTCAAAATATATAAAATAAGTAAAATATAATATTTTTTTCAATTCAATATTATTTTTGTTTCTTTTTTTAATTTTAATAAATAATTCTATAATTAAATTTAATATATTTTTTTCTTAATTTTATTTTAAAAAAAATATATAACTTAATATTAATTAATATAAAAATAAAAACTAAAATATATATATATATAAATATATATATTTTTTAAGATCTTATCAAATTAATTGTCATTATAATTTGTAATAGTTCTTATTCTGTTTAAAATCAAGATATTAAATAAGTATTTGCGAAAATAAAAAATAAATATAATGTCTATTATATAAAAATATTAAAGAAATGCATTTAAATCCTATTTAATTAATTATTGAATTTTAATTAAAGGAATTTTAGATTTGCCTCATTATTTTTGTTACTATTTTTATATTTTTATTGTATCTTTTTAATTACCTAATAAAAAAAAACACTAAAAATATATTATCCTATTTTTCTCACTTTTTTCTTTTTTTTGATTAAGATTTAAAAAAAATACAATATATAATAAATATGAACAATATTTCTTTAAATTATATAAATCTTATATTTTTATTTTGTTAAATTTTTGAAAACGTAATTTGTATATTTTTATTCCATTTTATTTTTTCATTTATTATTTTTTAGTTTATTTTTTTGAGGGAAATCATTTTTATTTACATTTTAATAAAAATAATTTAATTTTCTTCCAAAAAATTATTTTCTTAGGATAAATATTAATTTTTTCTATTTTTTTTTATTTTTGGCACTTTATTAATTTAAAAAAATATTTTTTATGAAATGCTTTTTGTATAAAGTGTCCATGATGAAAAATACAGTAATTTAATTTTCTCTTATGAAAATAATGATATTTTCTAAAGTAATATCGAAAAAAAATAGTTGAACATATATTTAGATTTTTTTTCTTAAATTTCATTTAATTTAACTTTTTTTATCAGAATTCAAATGAATATATAAATAATCATTGCATATATTAATCCTTGAATATATAAATATATATTAATAATTATTAACTATATAATTATTTTATCTTATTATCTTATTTTTAAACATATATAAAAACATATATCCAATATATAGTATATATATATTTGTTTTTTTCGTTAATTATATCATATTCTACTACTATTATTTGGAATTAAATAATGTGGAACATCTGGAATAGTTGGTTTAATATTATATGCACCTGGACCTTTATTTTAATTATAATTGATAACTAAAATATTAAAATCTTAAAATACCTGGTTCTTATAAATGAGATTTTCCAAGAACATCTGATCTTTACTGACTAGTTCCAAATCCCCATTTAGGTCCTTCTATATCCTATTTTAAGTTATAATTTCCAGGTCCTGGCACTTTATTTGTAGCATTGAAATTAGATCTCTAACTGTTACCGATCCTTTATTTTTTAATTAATCATTTAGTATTTAATATTTATCAGTTTTTTTATTATTTTTACTTTGCTGTAGCTGGTCTAAGTTTTTAACTTGAATAATTTTCACTTGGTTTATAAGCTCCTGGCCCCGGAATGCCCTACTTTTAAGCATTAAATAAACTATCATTATTAAAGCCTTTAATTGTTAACTTTTTTATTATTTAAAAAAATATAAGTTATTTATAAAAAATACTTTAGGACCATTATTAGTCCCTGGTATATTATATTAGCCAGGACCTGGTGTCATTTCGGACATATTTAAAGGCTTTCTTGTATCAGCTCCTAATCTATAGGAAGGAATATTTGGTCTATGGTAGAACTTTGGTTAATATCTATTAATAAATTTATAAAGGTTAATTTTTATGTAATGTATTTTACGATCCTGGTCCTGGAAGGTTGTTATTAATATTTCCATCTCTTGATGCTGTTCCGATTCTTTAATTTTGAAAAATTTAATTATTTTTAAAAATATTTTTTTTTTTAAAAAAAAAAAAAACTTATATCGAGGAGCAGATTATTTAACTATGAGCAGAGGATTGTATCTGATAATTATTAATAATATATTATTTATAATTATTATTATTTTTATTACGCTCCTGGTCCTGGCACTAGCTCCTAATTTGTTTAATTCTACCTAGAAACCATTGAGAAACCTTTATTAGTATTAAAACTACTATTCATGTTATAATTTCCAGCTTAAAAAATTATTAATATTAAATTTATATTATGTTTTTTATTACGTCCTGGTACAAAACAATTATTATTTTTATCTCTTCTGCTTGTTCCAAATCCGTATTTAGGTCCTTATGTCTAATTCAACATATTTTTATAACCTTTATTTATTTTATTATATATTTTTTTGGTATTTTTTATTACTTCCTGGACCAGGAAACTATTGATTTTGCCACATTTCAGCTCTGTTTGATTTTGGAAATATCATTGAAGGTCTATTTAAAACAGTTGATTAATGCTAATATTGTCCTGGCCCTGGTGTTCTACCACGAGCACTAGATATATATCTTTTACTTATTCTTTAATCATTAATAATATATATTAAAAAAAGTAATAATTATTTATATAAAATAACGAATATTAAGGCAATTATTTCATCGAAAAAGAATAATTTGGTTAATAAGCTCCTGGACCAGGTTCTTTAATTTTATTATTTTATTTTGTTAAAATAAATATATTTTTTTTAGTATACTTATATCAAATTTATTTTCATTAGGTTTACCTGCAAAACTATATTTTTCACCTTCATTTGTCTATTAAAGGATTTAATATATATTTCTTTAATGTTTATGTATATTTTTACAAATTTAGGCTTTATTTAGTAACTATATTTTCATAAAAAATTAAAAGAACATATATATATATATATATATTACGATCCTGGGCCTGGAGAATTATTTACATTAGAATTTCCTCTAGATTAAGTCCCTATCCTAATATTTATTATATAAAATAAATAATTTTTAAAATAATTAAATTCTATTAACTTCCATTAGGGTGGAATAAATTTTTGTTTTTTCTAAGGTGTGTATGCACCTGGACCCTTATTTTGTTAATTTATTTATATTATAACAACTATATATATTACGGGAGTATTATTTGTAAGTAAATAACCTTTTTTTTAATTAATATTATTATTGAGATATTAAAATCTTATGTTTTATATTTATAAATTACCTCTTTAGGCTGTTCCTATTGACCATGCACTAACCATTTTTTTCTTATATTTTTTTATTTTTTTTCTTATTTTATTAATATTTTTGAATAATCTTTTAAAAATTACAAAAGTTTCAGAAAAATTAAATAATAAATTTTTATTTTCTTTTTAAAAAAATAATAATAAAAAGAAGTTTAAATAAAATATTAATAAAAATATAATAATATATAATAAAATAAATTTTTATATTCATATTAGTTTTTACTAATAATATTTTATGTAATTATACTCAATGACTATTTAAAATAAATTCTAATATATAATATATATTTAAATAAATATAAATATAACAAATATATTTTAAAAGTTATTATTTTTATTTAAGTTTTTTTTTTTTTTTTTTTTTTTTTCATTAATTTTATTTAAATAAATTGATATTTTTTTATTTTTTTTTGGATTATGGCTTAAATAATTAATATTATTAATAATATAATATGCATTTTAATTTAGTTTGATCGTTTTATTTATTGTTTAATTTAAAAATTTAAATTAAATAAGATTATATTATTATTTTCCATATTTTTATCAAAATACATATAATTATATAATATTTTAATGAAATTAAATATATGTAAATTAATAAAAAAATTTATAAAATAAATAAATTAATTTAAATTTCATAAAAATAAAAGTGAAATATTATCATATATATATATATTTATTATTAAAAGCCAAAAAGAACATCTAAAACTAATTTTATATTTATATTTTATATTATAATCAGAAAATAGTACATGCTATACCTCCACAGCATCTACTATTCTATATTATATTATGATCTATTTCCGGAATACTATTTTTTTTATTATCTTTATTTTCAGCTTGTGTTTCATCATCATTATAAATACAATTTTTCTTTATATTTTTATTTTTTTTAACATATTCTTATTCTTCTTATTCTTCTTATGCTACTATGCCATGTTATTACTGATTATTTTCTTTAATAAGACTATATTAAACTAAATTAGTATATTCAATAGCATTATCTTCAACTTTAGTAACCGTAATTAAATAAAAAGGTAGGGCATCATTCTTTTAATTTTGCTTTTTTTGATTACTTTCTTATTTTTAATGATTATTTATTTCATCATCTTATAACTTTAAAGCATTTGGATTATTATTTTTTTGACTAGAAAAAGAATTTTTTTAAATTGGAGAAGCATTATCTTTCAAAGATTAATTTTTTTCTTTTATTTTTTCTATTTAGACTATATTATTTTTCTATTCACTTTCATGTTAATAATCCTTTTCTTAGGTAAGATTTTTTCCTCTTTTTTATTTTAATATTCTTCCACTTTTATAGGTGTATTATACTCTCTTAACAATTTCTCTTACTCAGAAATGTTAATTTTTTAATTATTGACATTAATTTCTTTTTATTCAACAATTTTATTACTATTTTAAATTGAAATTTTTTATTATTATATTTACTCTTCTGAAGTAAAAATATTCTGAGGAGGCCTTAATTTAAACAAAAAAATAAAATATTAATAAAAAAAATATACCAAAATTAAGTAATATTAGGCATATTACCTCCATATTATTTTTATACTTATTCTTTAGGAATTTATTCATACAGTTTTTCCATTTTTCCTTTTTTTGCAAAAGTAATTTTCGCCGCAGCTTCTTCATCAATCATTTTTTCAATAATACTCCACGAAGTATTTAGTCCAAAAGAAGGATTTAAAACAAACATTTTTTCTAAGTGACCTCCAAAGTTTATTTACATTGTTTAAATAATTATATTTAAAGCTTTGAGAGGTAAATCAAATATACCTTTTTCCTTTACATCAATAATAAAAATCCAATTTTCTATTTTTCCATTTACAAACATATGCTTTTTAATGATATTTAAAAAATAACTCATTGCTCTTATCAAAGAATCACCAGTTTATTTCTTCATATTTAACTTAGAACAATCCATTATTAAAACAGGACGATATTTTTTATCTCTTCCTGCTAAATAAACAGTTCCTTCCTTTAAAAAATTAAGAGAAGGTTGATCTAAAGAATGCATATCTGGATTATTTTTCCATTATATGTGTATTTCAAGGTTCTTTTTTTTTATATAATTATATATATATATAAATAAATATATTTATATTACTTTTAATGCTTTTTTATGATTAAATTATCCAGACTGTAAAATTTTTAAATATGTACTATCACTTTAACTTTATAAAATATATATGTAATTGTTTTATATTAATTCAATAAAGGATATGTGTTTTTTTACTTTAATAATTCCTTGTTATGTTAAGAAACATATTAAATAAATTCTTGTATTTATTGCTTTTCAAATTAATCATATTCTATTCCTTCATATATTTTTCTACAGATTTTTTTTTTTTCACCATGCTTAATATAATAATCTTTTAATTAAAAAATAATATAATTAAATTTAAATTAAATATAAAAATATTATATAAACCATCATGTTGTATTTAACAAACAGCTTATTGGGAAGGAATTAAATACTAAAATAAAATAAGATTAATTCATAAAAATATGAAATAATTTTAATTTATATATTTATATATATAAAAATATATAAAATTTTATTATATAAAAATTAAAATATATTATTATAAATTTTTAATATATTATATAAATATATTAATATATAAAATATAAATATTTTAAATTATAAATATACAAAATTTTTATTTTTTAATATATAATTATTTATTTTATAAATATATAAATATTTAAACATTATTTTTGTTTTATAAATTTAAATTAATCAACTAATATTTAATATTTATTTATAATTGTATAATAATATTAATTTTTTTTTCTAATTAATTTGTAAATATTTTTTTAAGTATGACAGATATCTTTTTTTTGATATAATTATTAAAAAAATTAATAAATATTTTTATTTTTAATTTTAAATTATTTTATTTGTTTTTTTATTTTAAAATATATATATTTAATTTATTAGAAAGTCATTAATTTTATTTATTATCACAAAAAAAAATTATTATACTTATTTTATATTTATAAGTTATTTATAAAAATTATTTATTATTAATATATTATCTTATTTTTTTTCAAATATTATTTTATTTTTCTTTAATATTTTAAAATCAAATCTGAACAAATTATTATTTAACAAATTTTTATTATTAAAAATATATTCATTTATCTTATTTTTTTTAATATTAATATATATTTTCGTTTAAATATTTTAAAATTTTATTTATAATAATTAAAATCTTTATAAATTAATTTCATTAAATTATTTATCAAATTTAATGCTTTTATTAAAATCCATAGCTAACTAACTTTAAACTTATAAATATAGAACATATATATAACTATATATTATTTTTTTGATATATAAATATATATATGTAAATAAATTATTAAGTTTAGGATAATAATTTATATTTTATATTAATATAATTTAAATAAATATTAAATAAATTTTTATTTTAATATATTATAAATATATAATAAATATATATATTTATAATTTTAAATTATTTTATTTATAATTTAATAATATATTAATAAATTAAGTATATAATTATTTAATTACATAGTAAAATATAAAATAATAGTTTTGGACACTTTTTATTTACTATTTAATTTTTTATATTGATTTATTATATTTATTACAATAAAAATATAAATTTTATTAATAAGTATTTAATAATATAAATATATTATATTTTATATTTACTATAAATTATTTATTATCTTAATGTTATTTTTATTTTTATATATTTTTTTTATATTTTTTTAATTATATTTTTTTTGTTTTATTAAAATATTTCATTTTATTATTCATATGTTTCTTAAATAATCATTATATTTAATATTTATATCATAAAGAACAGAAATTAAAATCTTATTTTCTTCTTATAATTACTTAATTTTGATTTCTTGATCATCTTTTAAAATATTCTATTATTTTTTAGTTTTAATAATTCTATTTTATATTAAAACACATCTTCCTTTTTATTTTAATTATAAATTAAGTATTAAAACAAAATTCGTACCTCTTATTCATTTTAGTAAATTTGTTCTTTTAAATTTTTAATAATTTCTTAATTTGTTTTATTCGTTTAATCGCTTTGTTCCAATTATTATTAATATTTCTACAATTAAAATAAAAAAATTTAATATATTATTTTTATAAAACCTATTAAAGAAAATAAATTTATTCTTCTAGACATTCGACTTACTCTTTGAATGAATTTATTTATTTAGTTTATTCATTAATAATAGAATTTTTTTTAACTTTTTCTTATTCACTTTTAATTATAGAACTTTTTAAATTTTCATTTTCAAATTTTAATAATTCCAACTAATCTTAAAGAGATTCAATATCTTAATTTTAAAATTCTTAGTTATTTAAAGTTTGTATGTTTTCTGCTTGCTCTATCTCTTGTTATTATTATGTTTATATAACTTTACTATTATTATTTTTTCTATTCGAAAATTCATCATCTTCTATTGTATTAAAAAATACAATATTGTTAAAAGAATCATTTTTTTCATTATTTTTGAATTTCGAAAAATTTTTTGTTTTAAGTTCTTCTGCTAAATTACTTTATTTATTTTGTGTAAAAATCCTTGTTGAATTAATTAAAACCTTTTTGCTTAATTATTTTATTGTTTCTTCTTATTTTTATGAAATTTAATTAAGTTCTTCATAATTTTTCTAAATATTTTCTAATTAATTTGTTTTTTCTACAAGTAATTCTTCCATTTATTAAATTTTCAGGATTTTATTTTAATATTTCTAATCATTTAATTATATTTTTTAATTTAACTCATTAATAATTCTTTTTGTTTCTTCAAGATATTTATCTAATTCTGCATTTTTTTTTTCAAGAAAAATATTTTCTTCACTTATAACTTTAATTGTTTAAGTCAATTTTGTGTAATTTTTTTACTTTTCCAATTACTCATTTAATTATTTATTCTTTTCCTTTTTTTATTCAACAAAAATAAAAAAAAATAAAATTCTAATTATAATTATTACAGTTAAATTATTTATTTATTAAAAATATTAATTATCAGATTGATCTAATAATTTTTTTATTTAAGAAATTTCATTTTATAAATTCTCTTTCTAAATTAAAACTTCATCAAAATTTTCGTAACCTCCAATTTATATTAAAAAGTTTTCCTTATCTTTTAATATTTTTTATATGTTTGTTTCTCTAATTATTATTTGTTCCTATAAATCTTTATTTTTTTCAATTAGAATTTATTTTTCGTCTTTTAATATTAGATTTTTTTTATTTATTTCAAAATTTTGAATTTCTAAATCATCTATTTTTTTCAGAATATGCTTATTTGTAATATCTTATTTAAATGATAATCTTCTATAAAAAGTTTAATTATCTTCTATTTACTATTCTTCATTATCATAATCATCTTCACTTTTTATTAAACTTGCAACAAAATCTTTTAAGTTTATTTTATCTTCTTCCTTTAAATTTATAACTGCAGTTATAAATTCATTTTTTTTTCACTTTGTAATGCTATTTATAATACTTATTTTATCAGTTCAAGCATTATAGTATGATCATCATTTTAAAATATATCTAATAAATTTAATTCTTTTTTTTCTAATTTATTAACTTAATTTTGATTAAATAATTAAATCTAATCCCACAAATTATTCAAATTTTCTAAAAATAATACAATATTATCATCAATATAATCATCATTTATTTTTTAGTTAATTTAAAATTAATTCTATACACTTTTTTATTTTTATTTATTTACTAAAATAATAATTTAATTACCAAACATTAAATATATGTGTTAAAATTATTCCATTTTTTAAATCCATAATATCGTGGATTTCCTATTCGTTATGGATATTTTAAACTTTTAATGAATTTATCTTTTTATTTTATAAAATTTATTATTTTAATTTTTAATTATTACCCAATTCACAACAGATTATTATAAAAGAGTTTCGTTCATTTTATATTTAAAAAGTGTATTTTAGAATTACAATATAATAAAGCTTTTTAATTTTTTAATAAAATAAATTATAATAAAAATAATGCAATTATCTTATTTTATTTTTTATATAATTATAATTTTTATTTATATTATTTTATTAAAAAAAATATATTTCATATAAATAAAGTAGTATTTTTAAAAATATTTATATACTAATATATATATTTTATATATATCATTAGATTTACTCATTTTTTATTTTTTCTATAATTTTTTTAAAAACTCTGTCTATAAAAAATTTATTTTTTCTATATTTTCTCGCATTTTTTTTATTGATAAAGATTATAAAAAAAAAAATATTTGTATTTAATAAATTAAATAGATTTTAATTTTATTAAAAAATTAGATAACAAAAATTTATATTTTAAAACATATATTCATATTAATATATATTTTATTTAAAATTAATTATATTTTATTTTAAATAAATTAAAATATTTTTGTATTAATATGCTTTTTAATTTTAAAAAAAAATTGAATTAAAGATAAATTAGCTTACAATATTAAAAATGCTAAAAAAAAAATTATATATGATAATTCTTGCATTATATAATAACTTTAAGGACTTTTAAAAATAAAAATAATCTAAAAATAAATCTCAAATCATAAATTAATATATTATTAGATAAAAATTCATTTACACTAAAAAACATATAATTATGAAGAAATAATAATTATATTAATAAAGAAAATTTCGAATATGCAAAAATGAATTAAATATTTATAAATTTTTTAATTTTATAAAAAAAAAATTAATTTTAAAAAAATATAAACAAAATACAAATAAAATTATTGAAATAAAAAATAATAACAAAAACATAAAAAAAAATAATTAAATAAAGAAAATAGTAAAAATAAAATAAAAATCAAATAAAAATATATAAAAAGAATAATAATAATAATAATAATAATAATAATAAAATTAATAATAATAATAATAATAATAATAAAATAATGAAAATAAAATATTTATTTATTTATATTTATATTTATATTTATATTTATATTTATATTTATATTTTTTTTTTGTATTTAAACATTAATTCTTTTTACTAAAAAAAATAATTTTTTTTTCCTAATTTTTTTTTAAAATAGATTTAAATTAAACAATTATATATATCATATTATAAATCTATTATTAATTTATTATTTATTCTATTTTTTATAAAATTTATCTACAAATGTTTCTATTTTAAATTTAATATTTATAATATAATATTTATGTTTCTCTATTAACATTTATTAATTTATATTATAATTTTTTAAGGATTAATTAATTTTATAATTAGTTTTCTGAATATATTTTTTTTAATATTTTTATATTTTTTTTATATAAGTCATTTATTAATAAAATTTTTAATTTTATAATGTATTTATTTTACATTTATAAAAATAAAAATAAAAAAATCTTCTTAAATTTTTTATATAAAATATATAAAAAGAATTATGATAATTTTAAAAATTTTTCTTATTTATAATAATTAAATATTTATTTGTTAATTATTTATTTTTCAATGTTTTTAATTGTCGCAACAGATCTTAAAAAATATATAAATAAAATTAATTCATAATATAATTTTACCTAACACATTTACATTAAGAGCACTCTATCATAAAAAGACGAGTATTAGTATCTTTTGTTAATGTAGTATTTGGGCTTTTGCAAATATAGCATTAAACATATTCAGAAATATATTTTTTAATGATTGATTCAATATGCTTTGCATTAAATCTATTTTTTAAAACTAAAAATATGTTATATATTAATTTTCATAATTAATTTTTTTATTATTACTCAACTATTCACTAGCGATAGAAGCATCAGTACCTAATTCAGACATGAAAAATTATTGAACGTGAACTGGATCTCTTTTAATTTTTTTGCAAATTTCAATAAAATTACACCATCCAGTTTTTTTAGTACCAATTTTTTAAACAATTGGTGGTTTTACAGCAATTTTTGTTTTTCCCTCTAATTTTTTCAAAAAAATATTTGTTTCTTTTTATTAATTATATTTATAAAAACCTATTAAAGTTGGATTGTTTTTCTTTAATAATTCATTAATTCTATCTAAAAGTTAAAAATATTCTTTTTCAAACTATTTTTTTTGTTTTTCTTGTAAAATTTCTAATTTTTAAATAATATATAATTTTTTTTTTAATTAAATCAATTTATCATATTTTTAACAAAAAAAAGATACAATTTTAAATTTTCTATTCTTCTTCGGCTATTTTTATTTAAATAAATTAATTTTATTGTTTTATTTATATTTTACTAATTTAAATATTATCTGTAGTTTATTATGTGTTTGTTTCAGGTTTTTTTCCAGTCTTTTTAGTTTTCTTCATAGCCCCGAAATCTAATATTTGTATCTAACATTTTTTATTTAATAAATAATAAATATTTTATAATTGTTAAATGGCGTTATTTTTATTATTTTATTTTTTGTATATAAGTTTATTTATATTTACATCTTTCATTTATTTACTCATTTTTTATTTTGACTATAAGTATTTATTATATTTTTGTTTTTTTTTATTATGATATTAACTAATATTATATTATTTTTAATTATTATATTAAAATTAGACTTATTATTTTATATAAAATTAAATAATAAAAGATTTTTTTTTAAAATATACTATTAATTTAATTATTTATTTATAATTAATATATTTTTGTTATAAATATTTAATATAAAAAAATTATACTAACTAAAAATGATAGAAAACTCAATAAGTAAGATTTGTCCAACTAAAAATAGATTAAATTGTATTTTTCATTAAATTTCAAAGAAAATTAATTTTTAATGGCTATTTCTATAAAAATAATATAAAATAATTATTTGTTCTTTTATCAAAAATTTATGTGAAATTAATATAGTATAAGCATATTTAGATTACGCATAGAATTTTAAAATATAATGAATTATTTTTAATTTAAAATTGATAATAATAATTATAAAAAATATTTATTTTTTTTATTTATTTTTTTAAAACTCAATAAATTAAAATAAAAAAAGGAGAGAAAAATATATAATGATTGTTGATTGAGTTTTTTAATATAAAGTAAAAAAAAATACGGTTAATTAATTTATGATATTTTGATATATAAATTCTAATATAATATATACTATATTTATATTTAACTAAAAAATAATTCATATTATTTACATAAAATTAAATATTAATAAAAACATTTTATTTTAATTTATATTATGAATATGATATGATTGTAAAAATTATTTATTTTAATTAGTTTCCAAAACTAATATCATTACGTTCTAAAAAAATTAAATTTTAATATTTTTTATTAAAGTTCTAAATTTCTTAATGAATATTACTTAAATTAGTTTAATTTTTCAAATAAGAACTTTTAAAAAAATTAAAAGCATCAGTTTTAAAATTCGAAGCAAAATCTTTATATTCTTCTTTAATAAAATAATTAATATTTTATTTTAAAAGCATTATAGGTTTATTTTTAAATTTTTTTGTTCTTCAGAAAAATATTTATTTTATTTTTATTATCTCAACTCAGTATTTTGACTATAGAAAAAAATGATAATTAATAATTATTTTTCTTTATTAATTAAAATAAATATTACTTTTATAATTATTTATGTCATAATTAATTATTAATTAATACTTGTGAATCTATTAATAAAAATATTTTTATTTATTATTTTTTATTTTTTTCTGTTATTTTTTTTAAAAAAAAATAAGTGATTGTCTGTCCTGAGTTTTTTAAAAAAACTAAAGAAGAAATCAAAAAGCAAGTAATATTACTTTATTAAAAGTATACTAACTTAGGCACTTAGGCTTTTAAATTAGAATTATAGGCATTATAACTTGGTATAAATTCTTTATAATCTATTACATCGGATATATCTACAGTTATAAATTATGAACTTTTTTTAATGATAAATAATTAGTTTATTTTAATTGTTATTAAATAAATTTTATTTTTGAAAAAAAATATAAATATTTATGATCTCCTTAAACTATTTTCAAATATATAAGAATGTTTTATTTTAAAAATTTTAATTTATTTTTTTATGGATATTAAATTTAATTATATTATATTTTTATTAATAATGTTAAAATTAACTAAATAATATAGATATATAAATATAATAGTATTTTAATTAATTTAATTACTACACTATTAATTAAATACTAATTTTTATAAAAGTAATTTATTTGGCTTTAAATTGAAAAATTATGAATTTTAAATAATTTATAAATTAGATATATTTTAAATTATAATTTTAATATAATGTAATTATAATTTTCTTATAAATTAAAAAAATCTAGTGAAAATTTTAAAATCCTTAATTTAATTTTTTATAAAGAAATCATTGTATTATTATAGTATTTTTTTTAAAAAGTAATTATTTTAAAATCTAAAAGTATTTTATATTTAGTTTATATTATTTTATTAATTTTTTTTATAATTATGTTTTTAAATAAAAAATTAAAAAAATAGTATTAAATAAAATATTAAATTATAAAAAATCATATGTTTATTAATATTTAATTTTGATTTTAAAACTAAATAAATATAATTATAAGAAATAAAATATTTTTTATATATTATAAAATGTTAAATTATAGATTTTATATATTTATTTTGTAATAATTTTATAATATAAATCAAAAACATTATATTGTATTATTTTTTAAATTTAATATTACCTAAAGAATAAAATAATTTTATATATTTTTTACTTATTAAAAAAAATTAAATTAATTATATATTTATAAAGAATTTATTTAATATTTAATTTAATTTATATTTAATAAAATATTTAAACCAATAATAATTAAAAAGTTAACATTATACCTCTCAAATTCATAATAAAAAACTGAAAAAATTAATAAAACTCTTCAGTTTTTCTTATTTTTTAAAAGGAATAAAAATAAATTTATATATTAAAAATTATTTATTTTTGATATTAAAACTTATTATTTAAAGTTAATAAATTTAATTTATAATATTAATACTATTTAAATAACTATAATTATTAATTTTATATTAATTATTAATGTTAATTACACAAATTTTCAATTTACATATATTTTTTTATTTATATTTTCTAATTTTAATTTAAATTAATTCTTGAAACAAAAAATCTAATATAATATATTATTTTTCATTTTATAAAATAAGTATTAAGTTTTTCATATAAATCTTATATTCTTTAATTTTGATTTTTATCATTTATTTAAAATCCTATAATTGTTTCTTTGAGAAGATTTAAAAATATTATAGTCTAATTAATTTCTTTTTTACTTAAGAATTTAGGGATAACATACTAAAATTCTTTAACAAGGGTAATTTAATGCAAAAAGTTAAGCAAAAATTCAAATTCTTATAAATTTTAATTAAGAACTAAAGATTTAGTAATAATAAAAGCAAAAACTTACAAAATTTTGATAAAGTAAGAAGCATCAAAATCAAGTGAGAATATTTTTTTGATATTGTCTATTTTTTAGGATTTCAAAATTAAATAAATATTTTGTGCACAAATTTCATCTATATCTTCTTTATATTGTTAATCAAACATTTTTTTAAAATCTCTAAATGTATTTGCTTACAGTTCATTATTTTATAACATTTCGGCTATTTTCATATTTATTTATGTATTTTCTTCTTATTTATACATATTTAAATCTATAACATTATTAAAAGTTGTTAAATTGGAATTTAATACAACATCTTTTTTTTATTTTTTAAATATAAAAAATGTGCTATATGTTTATTTTTACCATTTCTCTTGTTAGTTTTAGTTTCAGCTGAAAGATTTATTAAATCTTTTGATTTTATTGTAAATAAATTGGCCCCTAAAACCATTTGTCTAAATCCTTCATAATCCATACCTTTTTTTTAAATATGTTTTTTAAAAAAATTTATAAAATTCTTTTATAAATACCATATAAAACTGCTTTCTTTTTGCTGAATCTACATTTACCCTTTTATTCTCGTAATCAATTGATTCTGCTAATTCATTTTTTAAATTAGAGACTGAAAAATCTAAATCAGCAGTTCTGAGTTTTTTTTCTTTAAGTTTTCCATACATTTTTTTTGTTTACTTTTAAAAAAATTCTTTGAATATTTTTTTTTTTTCTTTTTTTTTTAATTTTTTCTTTTTTTAAATAAAAAATTAAAGACCCTTAATTATTTTAATTTGATATATTATAGTTTTTTTAAATTTTGAAAAAGATAATATTATATGAATTATTATATATAAAAAATTATTTAAAAATACTAATGATGTATTATATACTTTCGTTCTACTGAATATTAAATTATATTGAGGAGAATATATATTAAAAATCTGAATGTATATATAATTTATATTTTTTATTAAAAAAAATAAATAAACATAAACTTATAATAGTAAATAAAAAATAAGAGATAATTATCTTATTTATTCATAAATTAATTTCGTTTCGAGTTTCTAATTTTTATTTTAATTAAAATATTTTATTTTCAAACATATTTTGTAAATTTTGTGATTTTTCTAAATAAATTCTGTCCAACTTTTATTTTTCTAAAAAATCTTTTATTTTTTAAAGAATGAACTCTTCAATATTTTAAAGTTGACTTTTACTCAAATTACTAAAATCTTGATTAATAATTTTATTTGAAATAAATTATTAAAGAAAATGTTATAATTAAATATCAAATAAACAACTCTCTTTATTCATTTAATTTATTATATTTTATTATTTATCTAAATTTTTATTTTTTTAAAAAATAATGTTTTTTAGAATGTCTATATTTAAATAAGTTTTATATATATTTGTTTATTAAATATAATTCTAATAAAATTATTTTTTTTCATTAATTTTTATCTTTTCTGGTTATGGTAAATATAATATTGTTTTTGTTTTTTCTTAAATTATTGTTTCAGTTTATGTAGGAGATGGTATATTTTATTCAGTAAAGTTCATTTTTTTATCTGTAGTTTATTCTACAAAAGATTTTTTTTATTTTAATTTTTTAATATTGTACTTTCTATTAAGAAAGATTCAAATACTAAACTGTTTAATGAAAATTAATCATCCATATCTATATATTTAAAAATCGTATAATTTTTTTATAGTAAAGAATAATTTATTGATTATAATATTTAATTAACTAAATTAATAAAAAAAAAATCAATAATAACCATAAAATATAAATTATTTCAATTTATTTTTTAAAATATTGAAAACCAATTATTTCATAATAACATATAAAAATATAAAAAAAAATTCTTAAAAAATATCAATTAAAAAATAATTATGTGTAGATTTTATTTAATATTTTATATATAAATCAATTGAATAGTTTAATATTTTAAATTTAAGCAAAATTTATTATAATTAAAATAAAATTAATATTTATACAATTCAAAAACATGTAAGCTTTATAATAATAAAAATTGTAATAATTACATTAATTAAAACAAGCCATAAAATGCACTTTTAAGCCCTTCCTCCTTAAATCTATTTTTCGTTTCCCTTTAAAAAAATAAAAAACATATAATTTATAAAATATATAAAGAAATAAAAATATATAATTTATAGTATATAAAGAATTAAAAATATATAATTTATTGTATATAAAGTATATATACATTTATTATAAAAAAATTACTTGTTTTAATTAATTTTTTCCTTTCTTTGTATTTTTAAACGTCATCTCAATATTCGCATCAATTCTGTCAATTATAGTGCCTTATTCAATTACCATAGTATTTGTTTATTAAAGTATTTAGAATATAGCTTATATTTATTAACTTATTTAAGTGATTCTTTATGATCTTTCCTATTAATAATTATTATTGTAATGCTAATATTATTGTTATTATTGTTATTATTATTATTATTATTATTATTATTATTATTATTATTATTATTATTAATACTGATATTATTCATATTGTTTTTGTGCTTTTTGTAATGATTATGATATTTATTACATTTTATTCAAAAGTTAAAGTTACATATTTCTTTATACTTTTAAATCATTATCAGTATTGTCAGATTAAGATATTATATTTATTGATTATCTAATTTAATTTATTTACTTTTTTTTATTAAAATTAATATAATTTAATTTTTTTTTTTACTTTATATATGTAATCTAAATTTGCTTTTATTCTTTCTTCTTTAATTTATTCTAATTTTTAGTTTTTATTTTATGTGATTTCGTTTAGCAATTAATTTACTTTATTTACTTATTTTAATAAATTATAGAAATTAAATTAAACTATATTTTTACCTTCCTCATCTATTTATTATATTTCCAATTGAGCAAAATAAAACTTATCTATATATTAAGGAGGTAATTAAAAACTAGCATTTAGAGATGTACTTCCTTATATATTTTTAATAATAAGATAAAAAATTTTTATTTATTTTTATAGAAAATTTAATTTAATTTTAATAAATTTATGTTATTAATTATTTTTATAAAAAGTTTATTTAGCTATTATTTACTTTACGAATGATGTTACCTAAATTATAATTTAATATTATTTTTGTAGTAAACTTTTGTTATTTTACTTTTAATTTCTGTAGTATTATTTGCTTTGATTTAATAAAATGCTTTTGTTTTTCGAATATCCAAGATAATTTAAATTTATAAGGTTACTTGCTTATTATTTTTTATCCTAATAATTATTATATTTATAGTACATTTTATTTTTTATAATTAATAAAAAAATTTGTAATTTTTTTTAAAAAAAAAAAAAAATACAAAATTCAAAAGTAATAAATAATATATGATATTTTTTAAAAAAATATTTATTTTAATATTATAAATAAAAATTTTTACAATTAAAGAACATATTATCAAAATTCGATATATCATTATCATCACAAGAGTAAATATTATATTTCATTATCAAAAATTAAAAGTATAAAAAAAAACACATTCATATATATATTCATCCTTAAGGAATTTTTTTTTTTTATTTTTATCAAGTTCATAATTATTATATATTTTTATTTTTTATTTTTTATTTTTTATTTGTTTATGAAGTTCATTTTTTCCAGTATAGTAATATTTAAACTAAATAGCTTTTTTATTTTATTAATTTAAGAATCTGTTTTACAATCTTAAATAGCAAGTATTTTAACATTTCAGTCTATTTTATTTCTCTACATTTTCAATCTATTTAATTTTTTTTTCAGAACATTAAGTTAATTTTATTTACGCATTTTTTATTACTAAACTGTCTTCTTACATAATTCATCAGCTTCTATAAAATATTTTCTTTTATGAACTAACATGAATACATTTCTCATTTAAATAAAAAATTAATTGTGATGAAAAAAAAAAAAAAAAAAAAAATTAAATTAAAAAGCATTTCAATTATCACATATTTATTTAATAAATATATTATTATATTCAAAGATAAAAAAAATCTAATTCGTGTAGTCATTCATAATAACCATTTGAGATATACAAAAAACATATTTATACCAACGAGTGTTAAATACCAAACTAAATGAATATATTAATTTTAATATATACAGCCAAAGTCTGAAAAAATAATAACTTTAATGTTCACAGAACTTCAATATAGTTAAACAAAGATTATTTATATAATAAAAACTAATCAAAGAATAGTAAATAAACAAAATAAGTATAAAGAAAAAAATCCCTTAATAAGAAAATCTTAATCATAAAAAGTCAAAATAATTATTATTATTGTTTTAAGATAAATTTTCACAAAAATAAGCTCTAGATTATATTCTAATGTATAAATAAGTCTATTTTTAATTATTGGCAATATTGCCTATTAGTTTCTATTAACATATAATTTCTAAAGAGTAAAAAGCGGTATAAAAGTAAACTCGAAAAATAAAATTGGAATAATCAATACTGTAATCTAAAAAACATGTTCTTAATATTAACATAAATACGTAATATTTTATTTTGTATATTTCTTATTGCCTAATACTCTAGAGGACAATGCCGAAAAGATAAATTAAAGATAGAATTTAAAGTAAAAAAATACATATTTATGGATGAAACTATAATAAATAAACTCTTTTTTGTTAAAAAACTATAAACAAGAGCAAGAAGATATAAATTAAAGACAAAAAGTAAAAAAAAAACTAATATTATTTAATAAAAGTAAAAATTAGCCTTAAATATAAAAAGTTAATGTTTAAATTAAACAATCTATTGAAAAACCCATTTATTAAGTTGAATTTCTAAATCTGAAAATAAATTTGTTAGTTCTAATTGGAGATTTAAAATTGGAGCTATTTATGATTAGACATAAGTAATAAAAATCATCAATATAATCATATTTATAATATCTAATTCCCCATATATATATCACTATTTTTATTTATTTTTGGTTAAATTTTGTAGTAAGAAACAAAGATTATAATCCATATAATTTATAAAAAATCCTTTTATTACTTACACTCCCTCTAATATTGTTGCAAGATTAGCATTAATAATGATTTATATTTCTGTATTATAAAGGCCAAAAAGAAACATTATATATCACAGCTTTCATATAAAGCACCTAATCTTTACACTACTTATTTCCAGAATTATATCCCCGAGGTTATTATCGGGATTATTTTTATATATTTAGATTTCATCAAAAAGACTAAAATATTACATATAGTGGATTATTTGACATCCTTTTTCAATGTATTGCTAGCAGTGGTTATATTTTATAAGAATTTAGGTTATTGAAAGGCATTTTTCACATTTAAATGTCTTATTGTTGAAAATTTCACCTAAAAAACAGGGGTCTTCAAAGCTATATAGTAAAATAGGTTCTTTGAAAAAAAGAATAACAGATTTTGAGAGATAAATGCTGAGTTATTCGATTCCTTTTTTTTGGAGAATTAGTGCTGATTTCGTTTATTTAAAATCATATTCTTAGGGAGAAATTATAGTTTTTTAATATAATAATTTTATTTGTAATTATTCTTTCTCTCTAGAAGGCAATTGAGAATTAAAAGAAGGTTATTATTGTTTCTTTATTAATATTATTCTAGTTTCAAATTTTTATAGTTTATGTGTTTTAAGATTAAATTTTTTATTACTAAAGATTGTTTTGTGCCTTTTATTTATTAAAAATAAGTATATATAACATATAAATTTATGAGTATTGTTTTTATTAATTTTATATATTTTTTGGAATTACTTTAAAGATCCCAATAAAAACACAAATAAAATTTAAAATATCTTAATATTAATAAAAATTATATATTAAGTATATTATTATATTATCACTTAAAAATATACATCGTTATTTTATGATTTAGTATATTGTTTCTCGCCGGATTTATAATATTTAAGATTCAATTCAAAGATTTTTAAGTTTCTCGCCGGATTTATAATATTTAAGATTCAATTCAAAGATTTTTAAATTTCCTGTGAATTATTAATCGTTGTTTAGATAAATTGCTTATCTATTTATTTTTTAATATTTTTAATTTTAAAATAATAAATTAAGTTATTTATTTTTATTTATATTCTAATTATCAAATATTTTTTAATATAAATTAAATATAATATAAATTTAAATATCTATTATTATTGTTATTGTTAATAAAATTTATTTGATAAATAATTAATATTTTTTATAAAAATTATATATATATGTATATATTAAATTTTTTATATATAACATAGATATTTTTTTCAAATCAAATCATATGTGATTTTGATTATAAATTTAGGAGTATTATTGATGTTAATTTTGACAGTCTTTTTTAATAATAGCTCAAAATGAGTTTTTATAGTATGAAATTGATATTATCTAATTAATTTTTTATTTCATTTGGGTCTTACAAATAAATTTTGACATCACATATATTTAATAATTATAATTTTTTGATGACATAAATTAAAGTGTTTCATTAAAAAAATACTTTTAATATTTATTAAAAAATATTATTTTATTGCTCTTTAATTTTATAATATAATATCATTTTAAAAAATAATATAAATAAAAAATCATATTTATTGTATTCTATTTAACTAATTTTTTAATATGAAAATCATAAAGAAGTTTTATTTTGATATTTCCTAATATAATTTTAAATATATAAACTGTTATATTGATTTAAGTATTTTTAATAATTTAATTTATAAAAAGTTAGAAATAAAATTATTAACTTAATATTAAGTGTAAAAGTTTTATTTCCTTTTAACTATAGTTAATAATATATTGAAACATAACTTTTTGTATTTATATTTATTTATAAATAATATTTGAAATTTTTTAATTTTAATTAATTTTTGATTTTAAACGAATAATAATGAAAAAAGGTATAATATTTATTCCAGATTAAAGAAATATAGGAGGAAGAAAATTATTAGTAGATTAAATGTATAATCATAAATATTCATTAGATTAAATAAAATTAGAGCATAAATCAATATTAAATTAATCCACTTAAAAAAATATATCTGTACAATTTTTTCCTAAATAAAATAAATAAACAAAGTTTATGATTGAAGAACATAACAAAAATTTAATAGCACTTAAAAACCATATATTAGATATATAATGCAAAAAGAAAAATAATATTTAAAATTCTCCAATATTTTTTAGAAGGAGCAATATAAAAAATCAAAATTAATTTAAAAGCGAAAATAAATAATAATATAGCTAAATTATTTAAAAAAACGAAAATTTAAAATGGAATTAAATTGAGCTAGACATTAAAAATAATATTTATTAATGCTAAAATCTAAAAAATTATATAATTAATTTAATTGTTTAATTTAGACTTTATAAACTTGAAGAATATTAAAAATTAAAATAATTAATTTTAGAAAATAGTAAATAAATTTAAGAAGATTTTCTAGATAAAATTTTTGATGAAATTATTATAACTTTGAATGAATGATAAATTGTGTTTTTATTGTAAATTAATTTAATAAAATATTAAAAATATTAACATATTCATATTATTCATTTTAAAAAAATACTTAATTATTAATTTAAATTTTTTAAAAAAATATATTTATTAAAGATTTAACTATTTTTATTAAAATGAATTAAAAATTAATGTTATCTTATAATTATTATTTATAACTTTATTTTATTAAACTTAAATAAAAATAAAATTAATACTATGTTAATATATATGAAAAAGTTAAAAAATATAAACATAAAAGTATTTTTATAGTTATAAACAAAATGAAATAAATTATTAAAATTAAGAAAAAAATTAATTATCAATTATATTTATAACATAAATTAATTTTATATAATAAATATTTATAACTTAATATTAAGATATTTAATTTTTAATTTAAAAAATTATTGTTTCTAAATGATATTTAAATATGAAAAACGACTATTAATTTTTAAGTATTCAGGATCTATAATATCTTTAATGAATTAATTATATATACATATTATTATTAATTTATTTTTAAGAGTTTATGACTAAATATTTTTGTAAATATCTTAAAATAAATGGGAATTATATAATTCAAAACTATTAATTAAATTTTATTCTTTTGCTTTTTTTATTTAAACAATAAGTGGAGTTTAATTTAAAAAAATAATTATATAAATTATTATTCTAAATTTTTTTTTCTATCATTTCTAAATTATAAATATATATTTCAAGTAAAATTCTGAATTTCTAAATTATTCTTTTACTTTCACAAATTGTATTTTCTTTTTATCAATTCATAAAGAGTTAGACTTAATAATAATTTATTATTACATTAAATTATGTTCTTTTGGATTATTAATACATAAATTAAACCTAAAGATTTGAAATAAAATTTTTATTGAGATGATATTAAAAAAAATTATAAAAAAAAATACTGAAATATCTGCTCAAATAAAAAATATATTGAATGTAATTAATAATAAATTAAAAAAATATATTATAATATTTTAATATGGCTGATTAAGCAGACTTTTTAAAATAATTAAAAAATAAGAATTATTTAATTTACTTTCAACTATATCTCTTGATAATATTAAAGGGATGGTAGAATTAAATCCAAAAAATTAAAATCTATGTAAATAAATAATTAAAAGAATTAAAAATAAACAATATAAATATTATCTTTAAGAATTTTCAGCATAAAATATAAATATTATAAAAATATGAGACTAAAATTTAAGTTCGAGAGATTTTTTTAAATTTTGTAATTCTAAATTATTTAAAAAAGGAATAATGCATAATTAAAATAATTGTTTTTTTACATAATAAGCTATAAAAAAATTGCAAAATATAATGTATTAAAACTTATGATAATATATATAGTTCCACACCTTCAATAAAATAAAAAATAATTGGCTATAATATATAAAAATAAATAATGATAATATAAATACGAAGCTTGTTTCAAGCTTATTAAAAGTTTTGAAATTCCATGTAATTATTAAATTAAATAATTATTATTTGGTTAAAATAATTAATTCATAGTTTAAATATAATTATGTTTTACTAAAAAATTTAAACTAACTTCTTATTTTTAAATAAAATAAACACAATAATTTTTATATATATTAGATAAATATTTAATTTCAAAATAATTCAATAATTTTAAATATTAGATAAAATTCCAGATATTCCTCCGATAATTCCTACTGATAAAATAAGGTAATTTAAAAAGGAATTAGAAATTTAATTTTGAAATTACTTTTCAAATAAAACAATCGGAAACACAAAACCTAAGCCTACTGAAGTAATACATCCTGAAAATCCAAAAACAGTAGTAATATTAGGCGTATATATAGAGATGGAATATATAGTTAAAATAAATAATATTCTTGTTATTAATCTATTTAATTTTATATTTTCATCAATTAAATTTAAAAAATTAAATCCATATAGAACAATACTAGATAATAAACTTAATGAATATAAAATCTTCATAAAAAATCCGAATCCATTTAAATTTCCTATATTCTTAAATATCTATTCATTTGTTTTTTCTTAAAATGAATAATAGCCCACACTACCAACTAAAACACAACTCAAGAACATAATTAAAATATATCTTTTTTATTTATTTAAATAAATTACTAAATTTAATTTTTACCTTTTTAAAATAACATTAAATTAGTTCTTTTCCTTCATTGAAGCATATATATTTGTTATTGTTCCATTTATATCATATGCACCTAAAAATACTCCAAAAAATATTGGGATTTGTCCCAAATTAGAAAAATAATATTGGTATTAGTCATCTTTTTTAATTTAAACTGAAGCACTAATAATTGAAAAAACAGCTCCAAACAAAGCAAGAATTCCAATTTTACTAAAAATTGATATTTTTTCTAAATTTGGCATTAAAGCAAATGGAGTATATAAAATTGTCAATATAAAAACTAAATTTATTATATATATAAAAATGAATATATATATATATATAAATATATATATATATATATATATATATATATATATATATATATAAACATATTAAAATAAAAAAACCTAGAATATAGTTGCTTTATACAAATTCACTTAATAAACTTTAAATATAAACCATATAGCATATAATAATAGTAAGATTCCCAAAATAAATAAAAAATGTAGACAAAAATTTTGCTTTTGGACCTAATAAAATTTCTGATGCAGTAATTAAAGTAATTTTTTATATTTTATGAGTTTGTTCAAGCTATTTTATTACTTTTATGAGCTAAATCCATGCAAAATATGATAAAAAACCAGTGAAAGATAACATTAAAATAGTAATTAAAAAACCTGATTTTAAAAAAACATATGGCATAAAAAGAATTCCAGTTCCAAATCCTGTTTTACAAATATTAATTGTAGCATTAAATGTAGATGTGAGTTATTAAGTTTGTTCAGGTTCCTTAAATAATATATATAAATATTTATAAATATAGATAATTATATATATAAAAATATATATATATATAATTAAATATTTATTTTATATATTTAAGTATATATATATATTTATATTTATTATAATTTAAATATAAATAATATTTTATATTTTATATTTTATATATTATTATTTTATTTTATTATGTTTTTTATTTATAAATTATATAATAAAATGTTATAATTATTTATAAAAAAC